CAAACATTTTTTTAAAAGATAAATATTAATGTGACATGTATCGTGATAAATATTGAAATCAACAGATCTCGATAGAATGTTTGTCCACATCATCCAGCTCAATGAATTCTGCATTAACAGATATAACTGACAATAAAACAAGATACATGTTTTTAAACCTTACGACTGAAAACCCTGAATATCTCAGATAACATACGATGGACACATGTCACACCCAGCAGCTCGTCATGGCTGTTTTTATAGAGAACGTTTGTTCCTCTAATCCTAACGAGGCTCGTGTTTGTTCACCTGCTCTCATCGTTTTACCTGAAGGCAGTGACGCGTAACCGTCACATGAGGAGGTGGGGGGGTTATTTGACTGCTGTGTTTGAATGCAGCTGTTTTACATTAAATCAACACGGTTATACTTTGCACAACTTCAGCCATATCCCGTCCCTCTGATCTCCACCACGCAGCCACACTTTTACGCACCGGCAATGTCCCACAGCTGCAGCCGCAGCACCGACTTGTGGTCCCAGTTGAGCACCTTGAGGGCGAAGTCCACGCCGATGGTGGCGCGGTAGTGCTGGGAGAAGACCTGGTGCACGTAGCGCTTGATGATGGACGTTTTGCCGACACCGAGGTCACCGATGACCAGGACTTTGAGCAGCCGCTCGTGCTGCATCGCTGCTGCGGGTGAGAGCGCGCGTGAAGTGGATGGCACAGTGAGGTCTCCAATTACTGGCTCCGCATGAAGGAGATGAGACGCACGATGCGGAGGGTTTGGCCAGTGACGGTAGGTCTGAACTCATGTATGGAGACAAGTGAGGAAAACTCGAAACTAAACTTTAACACGAAGTCTGAAACTAAAGATTCCTGAAGCAGATGTTTGGTCCTGACGCAAAGTTCACAAAAGTCAAAACGAGCGATTACGCACAAAAAAATGTTGATGTTCTAGACTTTCTGAAAAGACATTAGAACCGAACTGTGATTCCTCGTCTCATGAACAATGTTCCAAAAACTCTACATCCCCTAAAAACCGAGGTAGCAGTTCAGCTTGTCGCAGTTACTGTCCGGGTTCTCTCCGCGTGAAGTCGTCATGTCGAAAAAAGAAGAAGTTTGAAGTTGTAAACCGCTGCTGAGGTCGAGACAGAGGAAAATAAGAAGAAGACAAGAAACAGCAGCAGTGTGGTGGTGGTGTGGGTCTGCACACACACACACACACACACACACACACACACACACACACACACGCCATGCAGATTTCAAACTGTAGCCTGAAAACTGTGTGTGCTGCAGCACGGTCACGCCCCCTTCTGTCAGTGTGTCGTTAAGGTTAGGTTAGGTTTAGGTTAGGTTAGGGTTATATCACAGTTAGGTTAACATTAGTTTAAGGTAAAGTTAGATTAGGTTTATATCACAGTTAGGTTACATTAGTTTAAGGTAAAGTTAGGTTAGGTTAGGGTTATATCCCAGTTAGATTGCCACAGGTTAAGGTAAGGGTAAGGTTATAGGTGTAGGTTTAGATGAGGTTAAGTTTAAGATTAGTAGTGGTTCATCATTATGAAGACGTTTTGATCCTCACGTCTTGAGAATCAGGTTTAGATTAAGTTTGGACGAGAAAGAATTTTTGTCATTTCGTAATACGACTCCCAAAATTATCCCAGAGCCCGAACCACGAGTGTGTGTGTGTGTGTGTGTGTGTGTGTGTGTGTGTGTGTGTGTGTGTGTGTGTGTGTGTCCACCCTCAGGCCTGAGCATCACGTGTCTCCACAGGGCAAACAGTTTTCCAACCACTTCTCATTTCATTTCATTCAAATACGAACATTAACGATGACAGCGGAGACTAAAAGAGGCACAGAAATAAAATTATTCAAATTAGATTTCAATGAGTTTGATCCTGTTACAGAGCAACAAGCAAACAGAGCAGAGAACATTCACCCTCACAGAGAACATTCACCCTCACAGAGAACATTCACCCTCACAGAGCAGAGAACATTCACCCTCACAGAGAACATTCAGCCTCACAGAGAACATTCACCCTCACAGAGAACATTCACCCTCACAGAGAACATTCAGCCTCACAGAGAACATGAACATGAACATGACTTTATATAAGTCGCAGCCTCGTGATTCATCAAGTTACAAGTTTGATCCCAAATCAGCCCGGATTAAAAACTACACCTCCCGCCATGCATTGCTTGGTCTTTGCCTCCACTTCCGTGAATGCGCACTGATCCATGCGCGCATGCCCATCGCAGTGCGCGTGTCTTCCTCCCTCTCGTTGCTTTAACTGAGCAGGAAAACTTCTCTTCTACACAAACACAGGTTAAACTCATCCTCCACCAGGGTCACGTGAAGTCTAGAATATCTCCAATTACCCCGGATTGTCTTTTATTGAATTCAAATAAAAATCCATCCGGGACGTGCTCTCCCCCCTCCTCTCGCGCTGCGCCTCTGCTCGGTCCTGTACGGTAGTGGTACTGATGCGGGATGAGTCAGGCTATATGATGCTGCTGCTCGCGCTGCCATTTCATCAGCAGAAGAACCTACAAACACACACACAGCAAACACAGAGATGACACCGCGGGATTCCCCTCCGACCGCACACACACTCCTGCCTGCGTGAAACACCCGCACTGAGCCGTGGGCGGTTTTTGATCCCTGCGCAGATCCGGGTGTTTTTTTTTATTTTTTATTGCACCTGCTCCTCGGTGCAGTTTTTTTTCCTCCGGCTCCTCGATCGGGCCTGATACTGAGGAGGAGGAGATCAGCCCTGACTCCGGGGCCTGCACCGTCCTCCAGCCGCTGTCATCGGGGCCCCGACTCGAGCATCGAGGGTTTGTCGCGGTTGTTTTTTTTTGCCGGACTCGTCGGTGCCATGGAGCCCACATCAGCCTGGTCCTGAGAAGAGCCAACATCTCTGGCCTGCAGTCCTCTTCACCCCTGCTCCGAGTAGCAAGTAGGCTCTTTCTTCCTCATTCACGGCCGGTGTTGTCGGTTATTCATCCAGCCACGATGCGTTAAAAAAAAAAGTGGGTTAACGCACAGGCCTCCCGCACCACAGGTCAGGTCGTGATGTGCCCTGCTCTAATTTTAGCCTGCAACAAAAACAACCTGCTCTAGACCCTCATCCGGATCTTCATTAGCATCTTTTACGCACGGGATCAAAGCCACATCTGTGCGTAATTGTAATCTGATGACACAAAACGTGCCACAACTTCGATAAGAAACCATCCAGTGACATGACCGTGAAGACTTTTATTCAGATGTGACGTGAGGCCGGTTGTTGTTGCTCATCCTGAGCCTCCAATCTGCTCATCCGGTGTGTAAACGAGGCTGCTGTTCACCGGGGACTCGGCCAATAATGTTTGCATACCGACCCAGCTACGCAACCCGACTCCACAGGGACACGCAGGGGGTGATGGGAGGCCGAGGCTGGCTCCCTGCCCGCCTACATGGAGGGGATGGGGTGGGGTGGGATGGGGGTGGGATGGGGGGGGGGGGGGGGGGTGCTGCATGTGTAGTGTGAAGATACACATCAGGGTTGACAACATCTGTGGCCCCTCAGACACTTTATTTATCTGAGAGGAAACTTAGAGCTCTGAGAAATCACAGAAGAATTAAAACAATACCTGTTACTCAGAGAGCGCTGCCTTTACACACACACACACACATAACAGGCTTATATACTGTGCCTCTTTGTATTCACTGCGTGATGAATTACGACCACGAGATATATGAGAAAATCCTCTTATACTTTCCTCGTCACTTGATTTTTTAATGCGGCTGCTTTTTGGATTATTTTGCCCTAATGCCCTTTTTGATACGAGGCCTTCGGACTCCGGGTGTGTGACCTTCCATGTTCCAGAGAAGAGACGTTTAATTGTTGTTAACGGCACAAAACTCCAACACGCTGTTAGTCATGTAAAAGCCACCGGTGAGAAGTAACTGAGTACTTCTACTTAATTACTACTCCAATTAATAAGTGTCATAAAACATGGTTCCATCCTCTTCTTTGTAACTTTGATATATTATCCTCATGGTTGTTCTTGTTATTACAGTTTAACATGCTAACCAATATTTCTACCTCGATCAATAACTGAACAAAATATAATACTCCAATTACATCTGAATGAAGGTCATCCTGTGTACTTTTATTTCAGGTATTTAGTATATTTTGATCCCCAGACTCCTCTAAAGTTGGATTTATTGTTTATTACACAACTCATCTGCATGATGTGTACATGGGATACGTAAAGTACATTTTGCACGTAGTACTTTCTTACTTTTACTTTAAGTATAGGGTGTGAATACTTACTCCAGCGGTGGGTTTAAAACTGAATAAATCTCGTAACTTCAAAACAAAGAACAAAGAATAATCTCTCATCTTCAGTTTGTTGTATTTTCGATCGCCCCCTGGTGGCTGGCTGCAGGATAGCTGGTAAACTCTGCCTCCTCCATGTTAGTCAAAGACTTGTTCAAGTGCTCGTGTTTCTGATTAGTTTGGTTTAATGTATAATGATTATATAAGATAAAACTTAACTAAGGTTCTGTCTCTTTCTGTTTCTGTGACTCAGGCCCGCGCCCTCGCACGCTTCTCTCTAACGAAGCAGACAGAGCGACAGACCGAGCCACAGACCCGCAGAGCGACAGACAGCCGAGTCATGGAGGCGATCTGGCTCTACCAGTTCCGGCTGATCGTCATCGGCGACTCCACGGTGGGCAAGTCGTGTCTGATCCGGCGGTTCACGGAGGGCCGCTTCGCCCAGGTGTCGGACCCCACCGTCGGCGTGGACTTCTTCTCCCGGCTGGTGGAGATCGAGCCGGGGAAGCGGATCAAGCTGCAGATCTGGGACACGGCGGGTCAGGAGCGCTTCAGGTGAGAACACGAGCAGCTTCTGGGCCTCATGATGCTCGTGTGACAGGTGAACTCTGGGAAACGCAGTCCAGAAACACGTGTGTGAGTCACGTGCGGCGTGAACGTTCAGCTGTTGAGACGTCTGAGTGAGAGTTTCTGTGGACGTCCTCGGCCCGAAGGTCCGGAGGGAGCCGATGTGGAAAACTTGACCTCTGACCTCTGTGTCTCTGGAGATCAATGAAGAGTTTCATTATCACAGAAATAAATTATAGATTTATCCAAAGAAAAAAACAATGTGGTTCCTATTCTAACTTTCTCATGAAATGATGATTAGCACTCAATGTTCAGGAAGTTTGGCCCGAAGCTCCAGAACTGGAACTTCTACCTGGAGCTCGTTTGTTTGTCCGGGGCTGTGGAAAGATCCTGTATTTAAACGAGGTGGAGAAAAAGACCGGAGGGGTTTGTTTTACGACTAATCGGATTCAATCTCTAACACACACATCGTGGTTTATCTTTGTGCTGCGAGACGTCGTTCAGGTGGAAGTTTTTTTTTTTTTCGTGTAAAAGTTCCCTCGAGCAAAACACAGACGCACTGATCAGAGTGAACGTAGCTGAGCACTTTAAATGCTAATGTTTCTCACACACACTCGACAGACGACAACCGGTCTCACCTGTCAGCATGATTACCGTCTCCATGGCAACTGTGACACGTCCCTCTGGCAGCGAAGGACGAAAGGTTTTTTTTTATTTTTTATTTTTTTTCTTCCCATCCGCAATGCAAAAACACCACGGGGGCCATTTTGGCTCATGAGAAGAGTTTCTCACAAACACTCTTCACCTCTGGTTCCTTCCTCCTGTAAAGGAATCGTCGGACGTCAGGCGTCCCTCGCGCCGTCCACGTTTTGTTTTGAGATGTTTAGAGATTGTGTCACTTTTTGATTCCCGTAGGCGGACGAGAGAATCTGCCTCATCTTGTCTCTTCTCTCATCTCGTTCTGTCGTGTGAATCCCTCCCTGCTTGTGATTATTTTTCACCTCCTCCTCCTTCTACCGTCTCCTCTCCCTCCACTAATCCTCCCTTTTGCTCGAAACCTGTAATTTTCCTCCTCGTGCTGTTTGTGTGGACGTCGTCTCCGAGAGGATACAGTCGGAAAGATGAGACGCCTCATGAGGGTTGTTGTGCGTTTGTGTGCGAGCGGAGTGTCGACTCCTGTCAAAGTCGAGCAGCGCTCCTCCCTGTCTGACTGCAGGGAGGAAGTTATGTTATGTAACACACAAGAATCGTTTCCTCTCAGGTTTTTAAATGATGACGATGAGATTGTTGCTGCTGGTTATTAATCGTAGATATTTGACCCCAATCTCTTTACATGACACCTGTTTTCACGCCCTTGTTGAAGTTTATCTTTATTCTGTGCGAATCATCAAAACTAAATTTGTCACAATACCAAACAACTACCATGTCTGAGTTCTTCTGCCTGACACCTCCATCTCCTTCCTCCTTTCACACCTCCTGTCATCAGTTTCTCTCTCTGGTTACGTTTTCCTCCAGATTCTTCTCCTCTTCACCAAACGAGGCTCATTCTCTTCATCCTAAACTTTAATAACAGACCCGGTGTTGTGCACATGACGCGCTCGTGGATGTACCTTCTAAATCAAATTCAGTTCGTATCTAATACGGGTAATTTGTGGTTCAGTGTCCCCAGGACACCTCTGAGTGCAGACTGGAGGAGCAGGGGATTGAACCACCAACCTTCTGTATAAAGGACGACCCGCCCCACCCTCTAAGCCACTGAGTCTGAGACCGTTGCTGTGTTGCTCCTCAATTAAACAGTGATTGGTAGAGAACGGAGAAAAACTTTGAATCGTTAATTATTGATTCTAATTTAAATGTATAAACCATAAAGTGTTTTTCAGGTATATTTATCAAACAGAGTTTATTAAACAGAGTTCCATTCGTTTCTAATGTATATGCACCCTCTCTTATTGTGCCACCTGCTGGTCACAGGACAGTACAACAACAATACGACCACAAGCTCCTAAAGAACAGAAATAAAACTAATTCATTCCACTGATGCAATTTCATTACAAAATAAAATCTATTGTATTTGAATAAAGATTTCACGTCGTAGATCTGGCTCCAGTGTTACTGCACCATGTGACGCAGCAGTGGGCGGAGCCGTCCTCTCGTCACAGGGTCAAATTATTGAGTTAATTGTGTTGACGAATGAAACGTTCTTTTCATTTTTCGCCCCCTGCAGGTCCATCACCCGGGCTTACTACCGCAACTCTGTGGGCGGGCTCCTCCTGTTCGACATCACCAACCGCCGCTCCTTCCAGAACGTCCACGATTGGCTGGAGGAGGCGCGTAGCCACGTCCAACCCCACAGCATCGTCTTCCTATTGGTCGGCCACAAGTGTGACCTGGAGGCGCAGCGCCAGGTGTGTACGCCGCAAAACTAAACTACACCGGTCTGTGGGGATGGAGAGTGGCTCAATGTCTCAAACTGATCAAAGTGTGCAGTTTTAAAAATAACCTTCTGTTCAATTTTAGATCAGAGTCGAGTCGTCGCTGTTCGTTTGAAGCAAAAATAAATCCATATGTCACCAAATTAGACATTCGAGGATCACGCTGAGAAGCACAGGGGTGTGTCTACACTCAGAGAATAAAATCAAGATCAATATTAAAATCAGATAAACCAGGAAATGATGCACGGTTTCCTGACCTCGCCGCTCGATCTATTCGCTCACTTCCAGCAGAAGTAGAAAATATATTTCAAAATATAAGTGAAGCGTCTCAGTGCCGATGATCTGATGTTTTCTTCTCTCGTGGTTTGATAATGTTGCAGATGACGTCTGAGAATTTCAATAACAACAACCTGAACTATAAATTCACTTGTATCTCTATGTTCATACATTTGAAAATCTATAAATCAAGGATTGTCGTGTTTTACATCTCCACTTCTTTCATCCCATCTTTACCGACCTTCCAGGTGAGCCGTCAGGAGGCAGAGAAGCTGGCGGGGGCTTATGGGATGCGCTACATCGAGACGTCGGCCCGTGACGCCATCAACGTCGAGCACGCCTTCACTGAGCTGACCAGAGACATCTTCGCCTTGGTGCGGTCCGGCGACATCACAATCCAGGAGGGCTGGGAGGGCGTGAAGAGCGGGTTCGTCCCCAACGTGGTTCACTCCTCCGAGGAAGTGACCAAGAGCGACCGCCGCTGCCTCTGTTGATCTGGAAAGAGTTTGACGATGGGACTGAAGGCGAAAAGGGGGGGGAGGACTCAGAGGGGAGCGGCTGACGGACTGAGGTGTCGGCCCCGGGACTGGAACTGTTGCTAACCCTCCGTTGTTTCTTCAGACTGAAAACAAACAGGGATTGTTTGAGGGATTTCAATGAACACCGTAAACGTGGGTGCACAGGTGAAGGGATGTGCCCATTTATAAATACGTTTTATCCGTTGGAGATGAAGGATCACAGATCGAGGGCTCCCACGATTCAACTCCTTTAGCCTGTTTATGGGATTTGTTGCCTCAGAGTTTTAGAAAGGCCTTAGAAAGAAGATTCATTTTGGTTCTTCGCCAAAATGAGATGACGCTCTCGACTCGTGACGTCGTTCTTTCTCCCGTCATCTCTTCCTTCACCTCTTCTCCCTTCACTTCTTTACCTTCTCTCCTCCACCAATATGCAATCACATGATCACGTACAAAACAACCACTTTGGCGTTGTCCGACATCCTCCGAGCACACACCATTCCAATGAGATCAGTCAGCACCTTTAGATCACGTCTCCCTCCGTACAAAGAGTTTCATTTCTCTCCTGCTGACAGATTATTCCACATTCCACGATCAGAGCTCAAGTGAGGAGTCCTAAATCAAAAGACTGATTTCCTTCTTGTAGCCTTAACTCCGTTGCCACTTTATTTCTCCGTGGAACATCTGAAGGCTGCAGTGAGCTCGATGACAACAACATGGTTACATCCACTGTCATTCTGCTAATTCCAGCACCGACACAAAACACCGTCACCCACCCGGTTCCTGGTGGACTCCGCAAACAGGAAAAGAAGTGTACAGCTTAACTGACGGAGGTGGAGACGCGTAACAACTCCTAACTCTCTTGCCTTTAACTGGTATGAAGTGGACTAATAGGAATGTTGGAGCCTCTATAGCCGTTTGAAATGTGCAAATAAGCAAACTGGAGGTTATTTATTTCTCAGACAGAGGGAGACCAGACCACGCAGGGGGGAACTCGACGAACGGACTCCGCAAAAAGAGCCACGCCAACATCCGTGCACGCATACGGACGGGACTCGTCGAGCCAAGAGGGTCCAATCAGCAGGCGTCAACCCAACACAGGAAAAAGTGGTTTACATGCCTTTTTGGGTGCGTGTGCATAAATGTAATATCACAGTAGACTTTGATTTTCAGTTGAACCAGTGTCGCAGGTGAATGAAGAATTTTGAGTTTCAGCTGATGAAGTTGTCTGTGGCGCCACTTTTCAACACAGGTGTCAAAAATCTTCAGTTCTGAGATGTTCGACTGTTGAAACCACAGTTTTTCTTCCTGATTAAACTTAGTGAGTTATTTTCTAAAGGAGCAGTTTGAAATTTGCTTATTCACTTCATGGTGTGAAGATGAGTTTCTACCCAGAACCCACGTTAACCGACAGCTCTGTTACTTTAATTGCATCATGTCCTCCATGCCAGGCTTTGTTCATCTGTGCCCGACGTATGAAGAGCATCATCACAGCCTCCTCTTCATGTTTGCTGATGAAGCGCTGGACTTTTAACAGCTGTGCCAACGTAAATGATGCATGGAAGTTTGTCGGGAGTTGCGGTGACATCGTGTGAAGCGATAATTCGTAAGTAAAGCAGCATGGATGAGCCTGACGCTTTCAGAGGACGTGCACATAGGGGGGACATGAATGCAAGAAAGAGACAGAAGACTGCGTCAGATTCCTCGAGCCTGCAGCTTAAAACTTCATGCACAAGCACGAGAGTGTTTTTTAATTTGAAGAAGAAAGGGAATAAGCAAATTTACTAAACTTTCTTTAACGTTTAGCATCCGTTTGGAGTTTTAGCCACAAATAACGAACGTCCGTTTACTGGCAGATTCTGTTCAGACCTCTGGCAGAGCAGCTTATCTACTGGCCATGATGATATAATGAGCTGTGTCTGATGATCTGATGATGTTGTTGACAAGATGAATAATGAGTGTTTGGAGCGACACCTGAAGACCTCTCACAAATTGCCCCTTTCTTTGACTTTGCACACAGACACGTTATTTAGGGGTCAAAGGAAAAACCCGTTGATTCTGACACTGTGACAGGCAACATGTCAGCGAGCCCTGTATTCAAACGCATGCATCTGTCGGGTGACAACAACAGTTTCCTGCCCTCGGTGTAACTCTTCTTCCACAGGAGTCGTTTGTTTTCAGTCCTCTGAGCTGTACAAAGACAAAACTGTTCCTCACAGTCCTTAATCCTGCCGGGTGACAGCCGACAGTCTCTCTTCCTCTGCTCTAGTTATCTATCTACAAACTGAAATGTACTAAAAAAATAAAATGTGACTGGAAAAAGAAGCATCTTCTCGCTGCCGTTTGTTTTGTTTAACTCAAGGTGTCGTCTTGTTTTAGTTTCTGAAAAACTTTATTATATATTGAGATCTCAAGGGCGGGGCCAGAGGTGGGGCCCAGGGGGGGCACTGGTCCCAGCTGAAATGTGACTGGACCCAAACAATGTGTTATATATTTAAATTCAACAGGGCGAATTCAGACACATACTGTGGAGTTAGAAAAGAAGACGTAGGTGCTAATGGAGATATTGACAATACAAATATTTGAAGTATAAGGGGATCGTAAGTAACAGAGGCAGAGTATTGATAAGTCGGAGCAAATTTAAGTGCAAACGGGCTATTTGAGTGCAAGGGCAGGGTTTTGATGTGATACACAATATGAACATTAATTCAACAAGTCATGCGCTCGAACCGAAAGACCTCGCTCCTGAATAAAGATAGAATGAAAGCTCCGTAAACAAGTGAAGCGATACAAAGCTGTGCTTCAAACCTTCATGTGTACAAAGAATTAAAATACAAGGGATATAAATAATATAAAATCAAACACAGATAAACATCGTGAGTTTGGATCAGTTTATATTTATTCACATTAATAAAAGATTGATAATAAAATAAAAAGTCACTGATCACAGGTCAGTTGTTGGAGGGGTGTCGGGTGCAGTGGCAGGGCGTGGCCGCTGGGGGCAGCAGAGCCTCCGCTGTGCTCTTGAGACGCAGCGACGAGACGCGTGAGGAAGGAAGGAGCGGCCTCTCTCCAAGATGGCGGCGACCATAGACAACAGCAATGCTGCTCCGGCGACGAAGAAAAAGCACCTGGGGATCCCCGAGGCCGCGTTCGTGGTGAGTAGAGCCCGGCTCCCCTCCCCGTGCCGCAGGTCGAGGCGCAGCCGGACTCAGGCTGCGGGAGCCGGGGACTTCTGTGGGTGTAGCCGGTGTGGGCGCGTCATGCTAGCTGCGAGCTAACGGCTAGTCTTTTACTCTCTGTGTGTGTGTGTGTGTGTGTGTGTGTGTGTGTGTGT